CAGAAGAGGAGTATGTGACACCAGTCTAATAATAAACACATGATTTTAAGAATAAAATAAAATGAAATAATATAAATGAAAAACCTAGAGATACATGCATGATGTAGACTATACTGTATAATATACAATATACTTTTTCTGATACAAATTATCTAAGTAATTCATATATTAGTAACAATTTCAATTTTATTGTCATTACAGTGAAATGCTAATTAGCAGAATGCATTGCTAAGAATGAGTAAACTGCAGTATAATATACCATGTTGGAATGCTAAATTATGCTCTAACATTAATGATGTGCACTTTAACACTGTTAAGTTTAACATGATAAACGCACTTTAGACAGTATGAACTGTAACACAACAAACAGCTAGGCTTACAACTATGGAAAATGAAGAGCATTTTGATTGACTATTACAAGCTGAGAAAACGTCAGATAACCATGTCAATGCAATTGACGTTATAACACCTGCTGAATACATCTAATATTTACACATTTGCCCGAGGAGGAATGATGGGGGTAGTTACATTACTATTTTCCATAACAACTAGGCCCTTCCATAACATTATCTGATGACGTTAACAGATAGATAGCGCTAGCTATTTATTGATTAGCAAACCATGTTGTTATGCTAATTGTTAATGGCGATTATGGTGTTATCAGTCATCGTTCGGAAACAGCACTATCAATGACATCATCTTTACCGTAACATTACCTCTGTCTTTGTCGTCCATTGGAAAACGGCTTTAAACTTTTTTTTCAGCGCAGCGCGACATTGCACTGCACTCAGCTCTGCGCCGCGCAACACATAGACATTAATGGGTTTGATAGTGGAGCGCAGTGCCCACCGTATGTCACCCAGTCCAAACTGGAGGTTGCTGCTGCCCACTGGTCAGAGGAGGTGAAGACGCTACAGCTAGCTTTGTCGCTGACGGAGGATGCCCAATCAATAAAACATGTTCGATAATAATCGACATTATGTCTAATCCGAAAAGCCTTTTGAAAATAAAATGACCGGAAGTGGCATTAAGCCTTTAACTGTGAAGTTGCTGACCGGAAGTGATGCACTACCATTAGGCTTAACTTGACAGTGGTGTGAAGATGGCGGCGTACAGTCGCCTTCAGCTGGTGCTG